TTATTGTATTTTTCTTATATTGCGCATGTACCTAATGTGTATTCTCTGTTGGAGATTCTTATAAAATAAATGAATAAATTGCCGATCCAGCGGGATTTTCGGTAAAAAACCATCCTTCGTATTTTACGGGTATCAGACCGGTTATCAGTATATTCGCTATACCGAATTTCTCTTAAAACTGCAGATTGTTAAAGAAAACCGACTTCCAAAAGTAAACTAAAAAGCAAAACATAAATTGCTTTGTACAAAGTAATACGTGTGTTTATTTAGGTGAATATAAAATATTATTTAATAACTATTTTATAATCTTGAAGCCAAGTAAATGGTACAACAACCTTACTATAATATCAAATTACTAAGTGGGTACATACAATATTAATTGAATATATTAAAGCAATTACAAAACAACAACACTACTGATCATCAAACCAACATGTAAAAATGGCCCTCGGGAATAGTTGCTAGATATAGTATATGTAAGTAGTTACAGAGAGACAGAGGTACTAACTGAAATGTAATTGTAAACTGCCAGTCTTCCGACTCACCATACTTCTAATGACCATTAGTCATTAAATAAAGCTCCCACAACGCGGATGCCTGACTAGTCTATCAGGCTATCGAGTCACATCATGAGCTGTTCAGATACATAAGTGGTGACGTCAGACTCAAGTAAACCTCGCACGATGCAGGCCTTCTAATATCCGGAGTGGATATCGGAACCGACACCACGCTCTTTTATTTATTAATTACTTGCAGACCCAGCCACGCGTTGCTGTGGCTAAGGTAGATAATATTGTGACTATAAATTGAGATCTAAGCTATGCTACTATCAAGTTGGATCAAAATGCACAGGGAATGCAAATCAAATTTAAAATCGGTTTAGTAGTTTGGGAGTCCATCGTGGACAAACACGTGACTCAAAATTTTTATATATAAAGATGTTGTAAACTGTCAAATAGGTGTCACATTCTTATTTATTTGTGTAGCGACATCTATCGCACAACAATAACAACAGCACCAATCACGTGCAAGATTCTACATCGCGGCATATGAGTTCTCAACGCAATTAGAACCGATACAAAATCCCGACAACAACAGTCGTGCAGTAGCCCACCAGACATAACGCCCGTCTGCTCCGAAGATCCTCCCTTTTCATTTGAGGATGAGGAATTTCCGCCCTGTTCTCTCATACCAGTTTTGCGATGTTTCCGTGGTCGCGTGTATTATACAAAAATTATTCCCCGTATCCAAATCTTTAATAATATTATAATTGCGAAGTAACTTTTTCTGTTTGTGTGTCTGTCTTTTCTTCACGCCATACCAAATAGTCACTACTCCACGCGAACGGAGTCGCGGGTAAATACTAGTCGTTAATAAATAAATCACAAGAGGCCGGCAACGCCCGTGTAGTAACTCCTTTGATGTTACGACTGACAATGGGCGGCGTGGATTGCTTACCATCAGGCAATTCGTCTGCTAGTTTACCAACTTATCACATAAAATGGACGATTTCATAGAAAGCCTGCAACTGACAGACTATTTTTTTTAATAAGAACATTGCCTCTCACTAGGATTTGTCCTGTGTCGTAGTTGCGGTTACAAACATAAATTTCACACATTTGTGGATCACAAAAAAAATTGATCCGTGCGGGAATCGAAACCGCGACACGTTTCGCAGCAGCCAGTTGACCAGCCATTGCGCCAACCGTGCAGTCAACATTAACCTGTAACTGGCCTGTAAGTAACGGAGCTCATAGCCTTCTATGTCCACTCGAAGGCCCTCAGACCCCCGCCAGCCTCTTAATTACATTTATATATTGTTGGAGTTTTCCTTTATTTAATAAATCAACAACACTTCTTTCTGTATACTATTAAAACACAATTTCAAAGTTTATATAAATACATATAATCATTGACTGGTATAAATCTTACGTCGCTCTGCTGATAACGTCTGCGGGCTCCAGTTTCCAGCCGGTGTCTGGGTGAAGCTAATTACCGATTGCAAGTCGCAGTATCGGTATCCGCCGGCGGATATTAGTTTTGCATGTATCTGTATATCTGAATCGCCTGCCGACTGCTCTTATACTAAACCATAAACAAGTCAGCTTTGTCGTACTGTGTGTAACAAGTATACTCCCGTATAGCACTAATACCTAGCCATTATGTATCCGTGACTGGAGGTATCGTGAGCTTCCATGTTAAAGTGGGAGTTCGCGCGTCAGCTGTTCTTCATGCATCTCCTATGAACTGGTTGTTCATGCCAACGTTACTCCGCGCGCCGTGTGAACATGGCTCGATACTTGTACGGAGTTAGTGTTCAGTACATAACTGAGGCAAACGACGTCGGAGTTCCGGCAGATAAGAAGTTGCTTGGTAGCGTAAATTGCGTTACGGACCGACACCTCGATCAGAAGCTCCCCGCCTCACCGCTCCCCTCCCCCTACACTCGATATAGTCTAGTTTATGCTCCGTTGACGGAAGCACATTGTATAGCAAGCATCATCATCATTTTACTTTATGTATGCTTTCATGTTGAGTATTATCATTGTGCACATCTTACGGAGGCTGCGGCTGTACACAATGTTGCGCCGCTCTGCTCGCCTTCCCTCGTCTGCATGTTTCATGATACTTTACAATTTAGGGCTAATTTTTCTATTGTTAGATAAAGTTACGGGTAAATAATTATGCTGAAATATATGCTGTCGCGGTAGAATGTTTGCATAAGACAGTGACAGCAGCAATTTTATTCCTCAGATAACATTTATCTAACTATTAAAAAATCAGTCGTTAGTGAGATATACTAACTTATAAAAGGTAACAAACACACGGTAACTAGATGATTGGTTTATCACAGAACTGTATTGTAAAAACATCATAAACATCATCATAAGTTTTCAGAACAGGCCGTCATACATTGCAGCTTATGTTCCATGTGGGAACTCGTCCAATGATTTCTACTAAAGCCACTCGTTCCTAAGCAGTTACAGATTTATTTAGCTTAGAATCACTTATCAAGTTTTGTTAAGCTCATTAATTACTTTTACTTTTCAGGCATTCTTTTTAAACTGAGATTTTGTAAATTATTAGGCATTTTGAATTCGGTAAGTAGGTACCTACTGCTTGCGTAATAGCTCAGGCTATTGTCTCTTAACAATTCATGTATACCATATAAGCTTAACCACCCTCACGTCATATTGTAAATCTCAGGGGAATAACAACTAATCATGACGGAATAAGGTGCCACCTCATTTTTTTATACAAACTTTCATTCGTCGGGAGCAACTGAACCGCAATGTATTTTAACGGTTTAAAATTGAATAATGAACATTTAGTAAATGTTACTTTTAAGAGACGGAGAGGTACATGCTAGAAGTGTGCGTGTAGTAAAAAAGAGGTTGCTTTTATGGATGTATAGACGTAATCGTACTGTTGTAAACCGTCACAAATACATTGAATATGCTAAACTATATAAAAAGATAATAGCCTTAACGAAACGAGTTCAAAACTGCTTTAAAATTAAAAAATCAACTAATAAATGTACATGGCAAATAATAAATAAATCAAAATTTAATACACCAAAAGATACCATTGAACAGCTTAAAATTAACAATGAAATAAGTAATAACTAACCCTTTAATTATAGCTAATGAATTTAATAAATATTTTGTTGGAAAAGTTGTACCTATACCAAAAATAATTAATAAAAATTCTATAAATATCACGCACAGAACAAAGTCGATGTTTATGGCTCCAAGTTTGTCCATTAATATTCTAAATATAATAAAAGGTCTAAAAAATACAAGTAGTGTTGGTTACAAAAAGGTTTTAGACAAAATATGAGCATAAATCTAGCTATCTGTGATTTTTTGAGAAATATAATGTTAAATGTTGATACATGTACGTGGATAATACTAGATTTATATTAGATTTTAAATGTTGATACATGTACGTGGATAATACTAGATTTAGATTAGATTTTAAATGTTGATACATGTACGTGGATAATACTAGACACATAAGTGGATAATACTAGATTTCTCGGCCTAACAATAGACAAAAAACTCAATTGGAAAGCACACATTGAGAACGTTTGCAAAAAAGTAAGCACTCTCACTCGCACTGTATAAACTCGCACCAACAGTTAATACAGATACCCTAGTAATTACCTACCACGGTTTGGTTGCATCTACACTACGATATGGAATTATAATCTGAGGGAACTCGGTAGATAAAGAGCTTGCTTTTAAGATATAAAAGCGATGTATCCGTGCTTTGTTTGGTCTACAAGTCACAGATAGTTGCAAACCGCTATTTTTAAAACATAATACATATTTTTACATTACCTTCTTTATACGTTTTAGAAATTTGTCTTTTTGTCAAGAAGAATCCTCAATTGTTCCCTCTTCAGTCACGTGTATCTCTACGTAATAGACGTAAACATGATAGAGTTTGTTTACACAACGCCAAAACTACCCTCATGTGGAGAAGTCTATTCTGTATGGCTCCTAAAATGTATAACGAAGTACCAGATGCATATAAAGAATTAAATATTAACCAATTTAAAAAGAAAATTAAGGAACTTTTATGTAGAAGAGCTTATTATAAGGTAGACGATTTCCTGAAAGATGATATTTAGAATTAAGTAACCAGTTGACATTTAGACTGTTTGACAAAAAACGCACGCAGGCGCGTACACGTGGCTCGAGTTTGATGAATAAAACATTTAGATTTGGATGGTATTTACGAGAAATCCGGATAAAACATACGTGACACGGTAGATAATGTACAAATAAACGATCTCAGCTCTCGCGACAATCCGATCATCGACCCGCTCTCGCAGGCTCGCGGTCCCACTCCAGGGCAGTTTCGATTATTAGATACTTATTACTTTTTCAACGAAGTACTACGTGAACGCTTAAAGCTAAAGTCCACCCGAACCATCAATGTAAAGGATGTGAATTTCGAGTGGTAACGCTGAGTAACCATTAATACTCCGACAGGTGACGGAATTAATTAGTCGTCGAGCGACACAAGCGACCCGACGTCAACGTGGCGCTTGGGAGGAGGAGCACGTCCACCCTCGCGCCGTGGCCCCGCGCCCCTTCCTCGCGCTCCCACTTCAGGTTGTGACTCCCTGTAGTTCACTAACAACACACGTTGAAGTTCAATCTAAAATAAGTATCTCAATACACTAGTAATGAGCATGCATCATCGGGAGCAACCCGGCCCTCTGCCGGAGTAACGGACTACTTTAATTACAATGGTTCCTAGTATCCTTGCTACCTGGAAGTCGATGAGGATGTTCAGCAATAAACGTGTAGGCAAACATTACGCCGACAAGTCAAGTACACACGTTAATTTATACTATCAGTGTTTCATATTTTTTCGCTATAAATACATGACACTAATAAGGCTCAAATCATACTTTTCAATTATCATGTTGCGTTCACGTTAAGATGTAATCAAAGACTGATGAGAAACGTACAGCACATTCTTAACGATGCGTACTGCCCACAGTCAGCACACTAGGCATACTACGTATGTATACTATGCATAAATGCATACCACGCATGCAGCGCATACTATACGTACATCGTACGCTTAACACGCACACTACGCTGCGATCGGAATGATGACCGCGCTACCGGTATGTACCGGTGACGTCACAAATACTCTGTGTAAGGGCCAATGTGGGTCTAAGTTTAATTATTTATCGTTTAACGGTTCGAGCTATCCAATTAATTCTACTAAGCACTTCGTATAGGTGTTTCATAAACTAATAAAGTGCCTTATAACAAACCGTATGATGTTTCGCTAAGCCTGGTCGAGTTAACGCGTTTATGGTTTTTCAATCTCGCAACGTATGTAGTACTCTGTTAGATAATTTCAAAAGTTGATCGTAAAAAAATGTTGACGCATTAAAACAAAAACTTATAATTGAAATAATTCCTCATACTCGAACATATATGTTAGTATATCGATGTGCAGCCGCGCGGCATCCCATCACTCGCTGATGCTCTTGTAACAGTCGTTAATCGAAACTTCAATATCGGCTTGCTCACTGCTCGCGCGGGGCGCCACCAGGGCAGCGGCGGGGGTGGGTCGGGGAGGGGTGACGATGACGCTGAAGGGCTCACAATTCACTCGCCGCTGACAAGAAAAGATTGATGACGATTAATCTTTCTTTAGATTTTAATCAATGCGGCGCTCGTCGACTGCGGCTGATTAGGTTTATGTCTCGTCAGTGGCTGTCGTTGGGGAAGGTCGGAATTAGTTCAAACGTTTTATATTCGAAACGTTCAAATAACTCTACTGTTTTCATTGATTGAGATATTATATATTATCCTGTACAATCTCTCAATTTGGTGAAAGAACCAAAGCGTATAATCAGGTAGAACCAAAACCTATTTGTGCGTCACATGTTTCGATACCTCAATGGTAGCATCGACCGCCAGCGACTTGTTTGGGTTTGTGTGCATTCTTCCCGTCAATTATTTGTCGATAAAACGTATAACACACTTCCAGAAATAATAAAGAACGAAATAAAAACTATTTATGATGGAACTAAAACTTGTTAAAAAAATATTACAACGTCAACGACTATTTAAATGAGAAATAATAAAATGCACTTTGCATTTTTCCATAGTAAACTAGGAACCCTTATGTCGCCATGTCTGTCTGTCTGTCTGTCCGTCCACGGATAATCTCAGTGACCGTTAGAACTAGAAAGCTGAAACTTGGCACCTGTATATCAATCACGCCAACAATTGGTAAAATAAAAAGTAGAAATTTGTTAACCCCCTACACGTAAAGAAAGGACTAACGTGTGATTGTTGGCTAGGTATTCAAAAATAATTAGAGGTTTACTAAGATCTTTATTGATTAACTTAATATTTTCGGAAATAATCGCCTCAAAAGTTTAAAAAAATATATGATGGCATTATATACGTGCAATAATGGCTTAGACAGAATTATATGGTGAACATTTAAACTAATATAATAAGTTCAACTTTACAAGTAGTCATGCTACGCCAGACAGCTACGTGCTACGCTGAGTGTCGCGGCACGAACATGAGCGCTACAACAGCACGTAGCTCGTAGTCAATCGTAGCCGCGTGTAATGATTGCTACGAATTATACGCACAACGTAGTCATATGCTTCATAATGACACGAATAATTATTTTATTTCAATAATCATAATTGTATCCTTATCTTGTTTTATGTAACCTTATCTTGTTTCACATTATTTATTAATTATGTCGATTTTTTTTTTATTTATTATTTAATGTAAATATTTTATTCGTATCCGCATAACTTCGTCAATTTTATTCCTTTTGTAATTTTCCTTAGTTTAAGGTTTATGTTAACATACGGTGAGTGATGTGTACATCTGTTAAAGATATACATACAAGATATCTGTATCAGTCATACAATAAAAAAAATGTATGATTTGGTTTTTTATATACACATTTACTACTTACTGACCTCTGTTTTAGTTTCGGTGTTTATTCTCAGACAGCACAGTGAACAGATGTGAAATGCTAGCATCAACCAGGTCTAAATCTAATTAAAAAAAAAATAAGAAAAGTCATTGTATTAATGTTAGCCGTCCTGCTCGTGCACGCGGCGCATCAGCTCGTTGATGTCTTTTGATCATTGTAGCCACAGACATTGGAGTATGTCAGGTTGTAGCATTGTGTTGTACACACGACTGGCTCAAGAGGGCTGCGTGTTGACTCGGCCAAAGTAATATAGACATTTTCTAGTTTAGAAATACCTCAGTGTTCGCTCCTTACTGAGTGGGACTTTTTTTATGTGATAGAACGTCAAACGAGTAAACTGATTACCTGATGGTAATACGAGGAATTATGAGTGCGTTGCCAACGTTTTGGGGATTAGGGTTTTAGAGCTTTAGGGATTGGGGGGGAGGAGGGGGGAGGATTGTGCCTCCGGTAAATTTACTCACACGGCGAATTTCTACAAAAATATATGGCGTGATTAGGATATTGGGAATAATTTTGCCGACAGATATTTAACTAAAATTATTAAATACATTTTTGAAGAAGCAATAGAACGGCTTACTTGTCTCTCCAGTCAAAGGATCGAGTAGTAGAGTTACTTCATGCTCTACGACTTACGGCGGTCCAGCAATTCATGTTTTGAATGGTGCAGTTAATCCTCCAGTATAAGGACGTGGTAGGGTAATCGATGTGGGGTGTGGTAGCCGGAGGGAGGGGAAGGCTGTGGAAGGGTAGAAGGAGCGAAGCAACTCACTACTGCCGGGAAAGGAAATACAGGGGAAGTAGCGCGGCTTAGCCACACTTTATGTGATGTCACCACGCGGTGACAGCCGTGTCAATTTCACTTCTAGGCTCAGCCCTCTCCAGGCCGGAGTGAAAGCGTCCTCTTATTCTATAACAGTTTACAAAAGCGAATCATTAGGGCTGTACAATGTACATGTCACTGCATCATGTCAGAGGCACGATGTTACACTACACGACTTTGACTACCTATGACACGTAAACAGTGGTAAACGGTGAATGTTGTTTCCAGTGTAAACACACAGAAAGGATTTGTTTGAATCATGCCAAAACTCGCTGCGGTAATTGATGTCAATCACAGAGCTAATTTGCCGAAAGGTACGAATTGTTTGTTTGGAGGTGTGTGCTGCTGCGTTATTTAAACGGATTGATATTACGCGATGGGTTCTCTATCTACATTCAAATTGGGGATCAAACAAAAATTGCGTCGGGGTGGTGGTGGGCTCGGGTGGGAGCCTGCCGCCCCGCGGGGGTGGTGTCGCCGGAACATGGTCGGCCGGCGTCCCCTCGCGCCCGATTTATTGCGGCGCTCTGTCCGCGCGTCTTCCCATTGTCAAGTGGCTCATGCTTTGAGGTACGAACCAAATGTGTTTTTGTTTCATTGCTATTCATTGAAAGATTATTAATTATTAAATGAGCACTGCTTCACTTTAAACTTAACTACTCCATTACGATTGAGTCTCCAAAGCTCACTCGCTCAGAAGAGTCGGAAACTCTTAATGATAGACAGGTTGTCGCAATTACGCCGCAAATATCTGCTACTGCTAATGTCGTGGTGGCCTAAATGTTAAGGCGCCCGCTTCTCATGTATGAGGAGGCGGGTTCGAAAAATCTGGCAAGTAACAATGTGACTTTTCAGAGTCATATGTACTTTCTAAGTTAATTAAGACACACACCGTATGCCAGTGGTTAAGACACCACTGTCACACGGTGAAGAAGAACGTTGTGAGGAAACCTAGACTTATAATTTTTAACTATTAATTTGAAATCGCCAATCCCCTTTGAGCTAGCGCGGTGATTAATGCTCAAACCTTCTCCGTATGAGACTTTTGCACAGCAGTGGGCACTAATAGGCTGATGATGTGTGTATGGTAATGTCGATAGGTCGATAGAGAAGTTAGCTGGATGTTTAGTTAGACATGTACTACGTGTTGTTTTCCACATTCGCTCGTCCCGAGTTTGGCTGTGTGTGTGACCGGTTTTGATATAGTTTTGAGTAACATGTTTGACATTAGAAGAATAAAAGTTTTCATATTCATAATTGTTATAAAAATTGATTTCGACTTTTAATTTATTGTTAATGTTTGCGTGGACTGAACTCCACGCCGTGTCAACTGGTGGATCCAAACAATCAATGTGGTCCGTTATCAACAATGACATATAATCGAACCTGGGTTCACGATGATTAGACTGGCAATAGGATGGCACGCGAGGGAGGGGGCGGGGGGGGGGGGGGGGGGAGTTGAACAGACGACGCCGACGTTTACCGACGCCTCTGCAGATTGCCGTCCGCGCTGACCCATATACCCAGTTTTTAACGTCTTTTCATGTATCCTCCTGACGTATATTATGTAGGTATCGTTACCCGGAGCCACTTTGCAGAAATACCCTGAGTTTATCCTGGATTCACCACCATACAACTAAACTCAAACATCAATCCTGGCTACACTGCTACAGCTTGCAAATACAGTTCCAATAGGCGTAAGAAGCAGGAAAGGGCATGACTTTACCACAGCACTCTGTCTGTAGCTACCGGTACTTTACTGTAGCCACAATAAATAATTACTCCGGAGATAGAACCCTACAGAAACGAGTACCTTACGAGCTTAATAGTTTGCCGACACATATTAAACAGAAAAGTAATAAACTAATGCTAAAAATTTAACTTAAAAATAATCGTATACGATAATTTTATTTACCGTACTGAGTACATAATAGTTGAACCTGCATGTAAAACAATGCTACACGGCAACCGCAGTCAAACCGCTAAACCGGTTTTGTGGCATTAATACTAAAATAATAAGGTATACATGCCCCGCCCCGACGTGTCGGGTACAGAACACCTCGCGATATGAATCCTGCCCTAATAACGTTTTATATTGTGCAACTCGGCAAACTCCTAAAATGTATCAAACACTGGAAGCAGCGAACAAGATGGAAGATTACACAGAAACTTGGGGAAACTTTGTCAGCCCCAGTTATGACCAAGTATTTACTTATTGTTACTTGTTTTATTACATTGCCTTGTTACACCGTTTATTCTTATTGTTCAAGTTAGTTGCGGCGCGACCGGCACGTGGCGACTGCCCCCAGCCCGACATCTGAACTGGCTATTTATAGCTGTTGAGGAAACATGTTCACATCGAGCTGAATGATCGAGCGGTACACACAAGATGATTCTGCTCAGCCACGAATGATACGTTCTCACGAGTGCAATTAAAAATAAGAGAATGGTATTCACAAAACTGGATTGTGAGTTACTATGACGACTTCAAGAAATGCAGGAGGTTCTCAATTCAGCCGATGTTGTTGTTAACTACTAAGCATTTATAGTTCCATTTCAAAAAAACTGAATTGAAAGAGACTGCTTCCCAGTTCTTCTCGTTCCGCATCAAGGCTAAGGCGCTACCGACCACAGCATAACTAACTCTGTGGCTAAAAATAAAAAAATATGTAGCGCTTTTTTCAGCTGCTGCATTTCTCACCCTCTGCCGGCGCTTCAGCTGGCGTTCATATCGCTTCATGATACAAGTTTCTTAATAATTTACAAGTTATCGACTGAGCGAAAGTGGCTGACACTGGTGCCTGGCTGGCAGTACCTACTGTTTTATCTATTGGTCGGTACT